GACACACATGCGTAAGGAAACTGCAGGGTACTTACTTCTTCAAGATGCCTCTTAGAAAAGGAAATGCGTGAGACAGCTGCTCTAGTTGAGTCAGCCCTTGGATGAAGGTCACGGGAATGAGAAACACAAACATAAAGGCAACTGCACCAACAAGGGTCGCTATTTTCCGTATCCAAAGTTGTCGATAAGGTATGTTGAGATTCCTCCAATACACATCGTGAGGTTCTGGAGCTAAGTCAGTCACCCATAACATAGGATTTGATGTTTGTAGAACCTCTGAAACAACAAGAGCATCGTAGCGTGTCTTGAAAAACACAAAAGCAGCTGGGCGTTCCTTCAACATGAGCAGAACATTTTGTGGCTTTAGTTAATCATTCTATATCATGACTACTTCAAATTAAGCACTGCTACTTCTACGCTCTAGTGCAAAAGTGCAAATCCTAATGGACGAGATCATAGTATTTGGTACTAGAAATCATCAATCGTAATTTAGAACTGAACTGAGTAAATTAAAACTTCACAGTCTCTGCAGTATCAGACACTCGAACTGCAACTTCAAAGTTCAATTTGTATCCAGTAAAGATTAAAAAAGGTCAGTCTTTCAATCTCATCTGAAAAAACTGAGAAGACATGCAGTGGAAATCTCTAAATCGGTTTATTGTTTTTTGTAAAGTTAAAAACAAAAAAAGCAGCTCGACTGGACAGAAGAAACAACAGATAAAATAGATAACCACACCCTATGCCTAGATCTGGGAAAATCAGAAGAATTTCTTACTTGCTCTGTCGTTGTCAAAGTCAGTTCACCAACCTCCATTCCTTTGACACTGTCCGCCTCATTAGAGAGGATATGAAAAGAATTTGTGGCTGTAGGTCCTCCGCAAAAGGTACATTGAGTCAAACTCCTCGGTTTACAACTGATATCAGGAGAAACATGTTTTAGAGTCTGGCACACCCTTTCCGCATCACGCTGAGACAAAAAAAAAATTGGTGATTAAGGTCACTATTTTTTTTCCTGGCACAGAACATTAAATCTCAAATATGTTATCACAAGCACACAGCATCCACGAATCATTTACCCAACTTTCTAACTACTTTTGTTTCGATTCCACAGGCTGACAGATAACCAGTGAGAAACTGATTTGTTAATATCGAAACAACCATAACATTAGAAATCATGAGCTACGAAAAGCGATAGAGATAGGATACAAAAATGTTTCTCTAGAAGCCTTTAAACCCCAAGAAGATGCACATAAAGAGTATCCTCTTTTAGCTGATACTCAAACTAAATTTAATCATCATATCTACTATTCTATGTAATATCATCAATCTCTGCATGTAGTCATCAAATAAATAATCCTTCATAATAGCCAAACAGCACATTATGCGTCAGAACCATGAAGTTTTGCACCACCTACAGAAGCTATTAACCTAAATGAAGACGGAAAGAAGAAGAAAACACATAAAGCAGGCCAATCTTCAAATCATTTTCACAAAGAGCAATAACTAATTTTTAACAAAGATATCTAGGTGAAAGTTCTACTCTGACAATAAACCAAGGGGAAGCTGACAGAATAACATTTTAAAGCCTGACAAACAACAAACAAAAATACCAGTGACTGTTCCCAGGAGAATACATACCAGCAGTCTCTGAATGATGCCATTATGGTAAACCATTTGGTGGGACAAATAGCTTGATGAATAGTAATTTGTGAAGAATTTGCTCAGAGTGTCGCTGTAAGATTGCTCAGGAGACCATGGAATAGCACGGATGAGAACAGTAAATTGGCTTGGCTTTGGGGCAGATCCAGTAATATGTCCAAGCCTCATTTTGGCTATGGTCCTATACTCCTACAGTACAAAAGAATGTTAACACTCAAAACGGAGGGAAATAAACGGAAAAGATGATAAAATGGAGAAAACAAAAGAATTAGGTACAAGGTCCTCACAAAGTAGAGAAGAAGACATGCTGCCGAGGTTATAATGTACAAAGCAAGACAATGAACCCACAGCCTGAGATTAAGGAACAAACGCTGAACTCTCATTTTCAATTATTAGTGCAATATGCCGCTTATAGATCCTAACAGAGAAATAGGTAGAACTAAAAGCTACACATATCATAAAGCAGTACCACATTTACCATTTTGAGCCTTCTTTGAGATTTTCGATTGTGAACACTTCTGATGACTCCAAATGAATTTCCTTATGCACCATTGGTTGCCCATAATAATTAACAGGCAGCACAAAGGCAATGCAAACAACAGCAGTTATAAAGAAAATACGAATGCTGCAGAAAAAAAAAAACACAAATTAAAATCAGTTGTGAAGGTTCTGAAGAGGAGAACAAACAAAAAGCATTTGGGAGAGTTTTCAGTAACCTGAAAATGACCATCCTGAGGAAAACCACAGCATCAAGACCAGCAGCAGCTAATAACTCATCTTCACTAGTTTCCCATGCTTTCACCAGCCAACTTGGAGAAGGCACAAATCTCTCATACCAAAAAGGATCATAGCGCCTAGCCCCACCACAAATAAGCCTTCGACCAAAATAGACACAGTAATTGGCTGGCTGTTTCCTAAGTATGGAATAAAGTGACAGTAGCACTATGCATATGGAAATATTAATTCCAGCAGATGTTAGAAGCGCTGATATCTCCATCTCACTCTCAGTTCAACCCCCAACCTTACTAAAAATTGCAGGCAGAGAAGAACTTCATAGATGGAAAGATGCAGATGGGAAACCAAACACTTGAGGAGGATCTTTAGATCGGCAAAAGACTGTAAGGAAAATTCCAAAAAAAAAAACAGATTGGTCGCTTAATGCGCTATTGCCATGAAGTAAATGCCTGCAACAACATATTCTTGCAGTTGAGAATAGACTGTTAAACAATTGGCTAAACATCTATGTGGAATCCAAACTATAACAACGAGTGTACGGATTGCGTTGTTATCTATGCTAAACTTGACGGATCTAATAAACTAATTTGCAGGGGAAGTTAAGTTGGTAACATTCGACATGAAGCTCTTCGATCCAATCGCAATAAAATCAATTTCTATTTCCCAACACAGTAGATGATAACACTACATTCTCATCCTATGTAAAATTCCATTCCCCATTACGACCAACAGTTCCGTACCCTAAACTTCGATAGACGAAGCGTGGAAACAACAGAACACCATGAATAAGAGAACCAGATTCGAGTAGAAAACCCAATTTCGAACACAACACAACAATCAAGAAGAAAACGAGCGAAATCAAAACCCAATTCATCAAAAATATTTTTACAGAAACAATACCAAGTGATACAACGTAAGAACAAAAATCGCCATGGCTTACATGGAGAAACGCCAAAACTTTGCTTTGACTTGAGAGAAAATCGATTGCGCACAGAACCAGAAAGGATTCAGAAACCCTATGAAATCGCAGAGAAGAGAAACC